TGCTAGGGTGATTAGCCATAGTACAGGGCTTGAGTTGGCATTTCTCAGTGGTCGCAACTCTCTTTGGGCTGAAGTAGATGATGGGGTTGGTGGCAGCTGATTGAAAGAGCTGAAGTCCCTGGACCTCTACTTCAACCCCAGCCCCAGTGGTTCCACCACTGGGTAACACTGTGCAGGTCAGCCAAAAGGGCTTAGATCAGGTGGAGAGATAAGTAGGCACGGGAGTTGCAGTGACCATGCAGCTTTAAGTACTGCTTGGCCAAAATGGTGGTTAGGTTTCCTGGTGTGCAACAGCTTTGCACCACACTGCTAGGTCAGGGTGAGGTTGCAACTGCACCACGTTCCTAATTTGCATGCTGCTTGTGCTGTTGTATCCCTTGCCACTCTGAGGCACCCATACACACACACACACCCTCTGCTTTAACAAGCCTTGATTCTCACTTAATGGTAGCTAGGAGAGCTGATGAGAGCTGCGTTATGACTTCATCTCTTTGCAATTAACATTGTGGTTGTAAATTGAGTACTACCTCTATATGAAGAACATAACAGAGCAATGCAAAATTTGACATTAGCTCATTAACCTTTAACAGATTTACAGACTATAAAATAAATTTTTGTTCTGATAATATCACAGTAATATTGTTCTGACAATATAGTTACAAGAATTTTGGTTTCAGTGCATCTGGCGCTGCAAAATCAAAATTTAGACTCAAATAATGTATTTAACTTCTCCCTCCATAACCATTGTGGGGGGTGTATTGAAAATGTGTATTGAAAAGGAGCTCCTGAATTTTGGAACTATAGTTTGTTTAAAAAATTGGCTGGTCCTAAACAACTGGATTGATGAGCCACAAAAACACTTGTAGCCAGGGAACCTGTTAATTTGAACTTAAATGTCTCATAGTGTACATATTTTTGAGAGTAGTGTTCAAAATTTATGAGTGTGCTCAGATCCAAATAGTATGAATATTGAGAAAGTATGCAAGGAACTGGAATGCAAAATATCAATGATAAAAATAAAGTTTTAAAATTATTATATTATTTTTAACACTGGGTACAAGTGTTTTATGAATTTTCATCTATGCTTTTCACGAGTCATTTATATTAGAATGTATGCTATAAATTAGCTTTTCTTAAATAGCTATATTTTGCTAGTGCCTTTTATAGTCTGGTTTTTGTTCTCTTTTCTAATTTATGCTAATAGTCAAAAGACTGCTAGCATTTTAGATTTGGTCATGTATATTCTGCATGTGTGTCTGTCCTAGGATAATATTCCCTGAGTGAAGAAGAAACATAATGCTTATGAACTACATTTCCATATGTACTTCCTATACATAATCATCATTCTTGCTTGTGGTCAAGGTCATGCAACTTTACTTTTATAAGGTAATGAAATAAGTGTGTTATTTACTTAGAAACCTATATAGAGAAATAAAAGACATGATTAAAACTGCAAGTAATACAATTGGCAATTGTATTAGAACTAAATAATACAAAATCTTGTTTGGATTTTCTCATATTAGAACAAATTTATTTACTTAAAGAAATTGAAGTTGAAAAAGGGGATATTTCAGCAACTTCTGGAAGAAAAGCAGGGAATAATTCAAAAGTAGAAATAGAAATAATATGGCTTGGCTTTAGCTACAGGAAATGTTTGGAGGTGGCTATTTATGTGAAATGTAGTGTTTTAAAATACAAAGTGAAATTTCAGACTTTTACATGACATTTACTATTTATTCTGAATCTGTAAACAGGTACAGTTAATGCTCAGTATTCATGGATTTCATATTTGTGAATTTACCTCCTTGTTAAAATTTACTTGTAACCATAAAATCAAGTGGCACTTTCACAGATATGCAAACTAACTTGAGTCACCCACATTTTTGTTCCCAGCTGAGGTTCCAATATTTGCTAATTTGGTATTCAGGTCAACTATACAGAAAATGATCACTGAAATTAATGAAAATTGACTATATAAATACTTAGCATGCTTTCAAATTTGCAGAAATTTTCTTTGTACATGTTGGGTTAATTATCAGCTTCTGTTTACTTAGGGATTCACTGAGATTTATAATTTGACCAGAGCACATTCAAACTTTTCCTATAACTATATATCATGTTTTATATTTTTGAAATTGGCTTTTTAACCAACTTCATAGTGCTTTATAAATAATTTGTAAAATAATAAGAAAAGTCATATTTACATTTAAAGTAGTTTAAAATTATGGGAGAGAGAATAATTGATTTAAATTTTAACACATACAGAAACACAGTAGGAGAACCAAGACACTGCTACTAAGAATTATTCAAAAGTCTGTATTGGCAGATATCGCTGTACAAAAGTGTAGTGAAATGCTATTAGCATTCTGTGCAGTAGATATTAGCAAGCAACTCATATGATTATGAACAATCACACTGACTGCTAAAGGCAGATATTAATATTGTCTAAACTATTTCTTTCAAATTAGTTCTAACCAGCAAAAGTTACTTAAGACATAGCTAATCTCTCTTTGTGAGGGAAATGGGTAGTCAAAATGTGATAAATAAAAATAATTCTCTTATTTGAATTATAACAGTAACAAAGAGATAATATAATTTCTGTATCTTCAAACCAATACTCATCCATACTCATGTTATGAACAATTATTTTAATATTCTTTAAATATTATTTCCATTTTTTTAAAGCTTGGATTTTCTGCCAGATGTGCATGATTTGAAAAGAACTACAAGAATGAATTTTAGCAAACTGAGCCATGGAAATACATAGCTTATGTACTTCTAAATAGTTTTATTTGTGGCCCCGTAATATTTCCATGGGTAGTTTTAACTGTGCCTAATTACATTCAGATTATACTCGAATAGCTTATTCACTGAACAGTACAAATATATGGACATATTTAATTAGCAGAAATAATATAATATTAACTCTAAAGAAGAATATTTGTAGCTCGGGATTGAAATGAGAGGTCCTTGATGCTCTCTGAGCTTGATTTTTTCCTTACAGATGTTTCATTATCCAAACTAGGTAACATCATCAGTACTAGCACTAAACATAATGATTTTGAATAAAAATAAAATGTAAATATAAGTTTAACTCAAAAATTATTTTCTTAGAGATTCTTTGTACTTTGAGAGATTTTTTTTATAAAATACTATATTTTCCTCTATGCAAGGAAAATAATTATAGGTAGATGAGAAATCTTCCTTAAGATTCCTGACTTGTTTGGGTGACATACCACCTGCCCAACCAAGTGCATAATTCTTTCCAAACCAAGTACAGATCTTTCAGAGAGGCATAAAATGATTGTGATAGAAGGAAGGCCTTCACAGTCTAGTTTTATTTAATTATCTTGATTTCTTTATGTTTTTAATTGTTTCAACTTTGCAGTAGATTTTATAAGCGGATCAGGATCTAATGGAATGGAGTGCCATAGCTAATTTAACTAGGTATATAATTTTACAAATTGCCCATGGTCTTATGAATTAGACAGCCATAACAATTTCAAATAAATAACCCTCTCTACATATGAAATCAGATATAAAACCTGATTCTTTCAGGGAATCTAAGACAGAGCTACTGTTTGTTAATAACTAGGGCAATCAAATACCACTGGTCCCAGTGATGAAAGCTAATGGGTTGTAGCAGCAATGAATTAAAAATGGAGACCCAGGTTCTAGTACACTCCTTTTCGGAATAGTTCTCCTACTAGGATAAAACTTAAAGACTCCTATTGGATATTGAAATGAATATAAAGTTGGCATAAATGGAATTTTTTGTAGCTGACAAGAATGCTGCAGGTTGTTTTTTTTTAAAAAGGGCTGCTGACATCTTTAGGTTTGATCTGTTCTTAACTGTCTTGATTATGAATTGCATTTATGAATTGTATGGTATTACTGATGAGTAGATGGAGCATTTCAACTAATATTACTTTTCTGATTGACATACAATGAATCAATATCATAACCATGATTAAACATGGGATCGTTATTGCAGAGCATTTGAAAGCTTGAAGTGCTGCAGAGTGCAACCAAGTTTAAATGGCACTAGTTACTCGGTGCACTTTACCAGCGTACTTCTGAAGGCAATTCAAGGTAATGGTTTAAAGCTCTTCATGGCTTAGGGCTGGGTTTACCTGCAGGACCATCCTTGGCAGGATAGACATGCTTCAGATCCCATCAGCTAAGGATGCTGATTGGTGGGGCTCAGAAGGTGTGTCTTTTCTGCTATAGGGCCTTCCCCACCAAACATTCTTCCTCTGGATATTAGGATGAACTCAACCTTAGTGGCCTTTTATAAGGCTTAGTAGATCTGGTTCTCAGGCGTGGGTACATGAAAAGATCCATATCCTGGATATATTAGTTTTTGTTTCCTATGTAATTTCTCTGGTTGCTATGGTTTTTAGTTTTTGTATTTATTATTACTGGATACTTATTTTTCTAGAAAATTTTAATTATTGACAATGCATTGTGTGCAGTCATATATGTCTGCTTGGAATGTCAGTAGTTACATAACTCTATGCTTAGAAGTAAAGACTAATTGAGTTAATTGAAGCTTCCTTGGAATAGATTTCCAAGCATGGGAATATGCTCTATTAACACAAAAAGATTTATAGCAGGACCGAAAAGAAAAGCAGTGATAAATATTATTGTAGGTGTTGGTGGCTCATGTTAATCAGATCAGAAATGTGTACTTATGGAGGATTGGACAGATAAAAACATCAGCTCTGTAGACTTTTCTTTCTCTACATTCTAATCACTATTTCATTATACCATTGAAAGTCAGGTAACTTTCCAAGTTAGAATGACATAATGTTTTGGCATTATTTGGAAAATACTGTCTATCCAGACAGGAGAGCAGGGAAAATAGCAACTCTAAATATATCCACACGTTGATGTTCTATAGGTTTATTTATCCAAGTATTAGTTTGTAAAAATAATGAAAAAAATTACTGCGTATACTAATGCTACTTAATTGAAATTTTTTATATATGTACAAACAGGAAACCTCGACCTGTCTCTCAGTTGGTTGCACAACAGGTTACCCAGCAATTTGTGTCCCCTACACAATCAAAAAAAGAAAAAAAAGACAAAGTAGAAAAAGAAAAAAGTGAAAAAGAAACTACTACCAAAAAGAACAGTCATAAGAAAACCAGGTAAAATTTATGCTGTTTGGGGTTGTTCAAAATACATAAATAATTAAATCTTCATCTTCTTGTAAAATTATTAGAAAATGGTAATAAAAGCCAAATATGTTGATCAAACACAGAAAATAAATAAAACGTGTGAAATAAAAAAGGAGATCTGTAAACTTTCCTGTATACTCTATCCCTGTGGTTTTAAAACTCTGTATGTTACACAGGGACACTGCAAGATATTTTATATGTTGAGGTAAAACACAGTACTTAAGGTCTATCAAATACTGCAGAAACTGCTACCTAGAAATAGGTCAGGGTTCTGGTCTAGAGGTGTCATGAAAACTACTGAGACACTTAAGTGCTCCGTGAACCAAAAATCTGGGAGCCTATGGATTATACTAAATAAAACTATATTTATGCCTATCTGAAACTCATTATATATTTATGTGTGTAAATGTTGGTAAATATTCCACAGTAATTATAAAAACAACACTTGATGAGTATCTCATCCCCTTTCTCATGGCTTCACAAAGTGAACTAAGCTATGAACCAATGTGAGTTAACCATACCACAATACGCATATAAATTCCATTACAAGCCATTATATAACCTCATTCTCAGTTTGTTCCAGAGTACATTTTTGCTACTAAGTGTGCTTGCATGAGTAACATAAATTATGTTTCAGGTCCTCCCATTTTCCAAATACATTTTAATTAAAATGCTCTTAATTTTTTGCTACTTGAATAACTGGATTTGCCTCATGCCATGCCATTCAGACTCCTAGTACCTTCAATAATATAGGCATGGGACTGTGTCCATCATTAAATAAAAATTTGGGGGATGAATTAAGGAAATTATTTATAAAAGGTAACTATGTCTTTAGTAAAGATTACATAATTTTTATTAGATTTAATATGTTTAGTTGATTGCCATTATTATTATTTCACAAGATTTTCTTGTAAATAAGCTTTCAGTATTTTCAGTCTCCTAGATTTCTCTAAACCCCATTAATAGCGTGCAATAAGAAGCTTTTTTCCTTTTTTCTCCTAATGTAAAATTCAGAAGCATTAACTGAAACAAAATACTTCTTTAAGAATGCAAAAGTATGGAATTTATTGCTGCAAAATTACTGGAGAAATTAAATACATTTATAGTGGATACCCATATCAGTGGTTATACAATGAGTCATTTTAAATATAACATATTGGGATTTATTAAGATAAACATGTACAATGACTATTCACCCTTATGTTATGCCTATTATTTTCTTTTTCTTAATGCTTATGTACTTTGTGCTGTAACTACGTTTAATACATTTAAAAATGAAATCAGCAAGCTGCAGTTTTCAAGTTTGGAATATACAAATGAACATATGACATCATACTGCAGATTCAATTAAATGTTTGAAGTGGATAGCCCATAGTGTTTTTGTTTGGCTAAAATAAAAACTGATTAATTAATCTAGGATTTTCTTTAGCACAATGAAAAAAGCAAAAATTGCCAAATCAAAATAGTGAAACATCAAATGAGGGCATGAACCTCTCTGATAACTTACATTAATAATTATATTATACTGAACAATGTTTTTATGGAATTTACAGACTTAATGATAATGTATCCTTTTTGTGAACAATAGCACTGGATATTCATGTCTTATCATACTTTGTAATTGGATATTTGCTGTATGAAGGAGTATAACAATTTTTACATGATCTCAAATGGGATGCTGACCAAATGTTTTAGACTTAATTTCCCTTAATTCAATATAACACAGAAATTTCCACAATGGATAGGAATGAAAATCTGCTGATAACTTCTTGAAGAGCAGATGGACCACTACCTTTTTCAGTATAGACAGAACCATTCAATCAAGGATTACAGATTGCTTCTACTTACAACCACAATTGGACCCGGAATCTTAATCATTGAGTAAAGTAGTTAAGTGAGACACTATGTAACTGTTTCACTCAACAACTATAGTCCCAGCTCTTCTAGTTGTGCTTGTAAAGCAGAGATTATACATTGCAACTTTGAACAGGTCTGCCAGGCATTGACTCCCACACCATCCAGGAGGCTTAGTCCCTTTCCTCATACCACCAGAGAGAATGATTATGAGAATGATGACATTCCTAGTGTTTCCCCCAGATTTGGTGTTTATTTCTCTAGTACGCCAAGGAATGTCCTCAGTACAATGGAGGTATGGGCCTCAAAACTGGTGAAAACACGAGTAAACACCATTGTTCTGTAAAGGCTCAGAACTCTGGAATAGAGTAATGTTTTTAGCAGCAGATTGCTCTCCAAGCTTGTTTCAATTTAGTTTCTGAACGTTTCGTTACCAGAAACGTAGGTAACACCAGCAGCAGGATTTTCTTGTCCTATTCTCCTTAGCTTATAAATACCTTGTGTGCCAGTGTGGTCAGTTGGTCATTTGATTGGTTGTTTGTTTGGGGCTATATTTAAATTCTGAGCAGCTGATTGGTTCTCTTATTGATTGGCTGTTCAAATGGTCCGGTTTCTTACACATTCATACGGTGGATCTAAATCAGGGATGTCAAACCGGCAGCCCGCAGGCCAGATGCGCCACATTCAGGTCATGCCCATCCTAGCTCTGTGAAGGGGAAAAACATCACGAAACATCACATGACAGCAACATGATGCCGCCAGTTTGACACCCATGAACTAGATCAATATGCTTGTTAATTCTTTTGCTTTTCCCATGACTCAGAAGCCAGAAACATCAGTGCAGCACTGTATGAAAGATGCAAAGGTCTGTCAGGAGTCCAAGAACTCACACACACTAATTACAAGCAACAGATCACAGGTGAGGATAGTTACCTTTAATAGCCATTTAAGCCCCTTTGTGCCAGCCTGTGTGCATGTTATCAGGCCAAAATCACCAGGGTATATAAACTTTTGATCAGGGTCATTTGGGTAGTTTTTGTTGTCATTATTATTTAAAAAGAGTAAACACAGTTGATTGATAATAAATGGCTTCAGCCAACCACTAACCATGAGTGAAAGAAAAGTTTTTGTGTTATCATTCGTATTCTCTGAAAAATGGCCAAGAAAGCATACATTCTGCCAGGATATATAAACTTAAACTTTAGTTGATGTTCATTGAACCCTTGTTATCAATTGCCTTCCTGTTTGTCCTACATAGAATTGATAACAATCGTTACAATTGATTTTGTATGTATGTTGCTGTAGTCTTCTTTCTGTATTTTGTCTTTGACTTTAGATAGCTCTTTTCTGAGTATAAATGTGGGTTTGTGAACTATCATTATTCCTAGGGGTTGCAGTATTCCAACAGCCATTTCGGATGTTCCTTTGATGTATGGCACAACCTGTTTTTGTGTTGTGGTTGGCTGTGTATTTTGTTAGGGTTTGGATGACAAGGATTGTATTATGAAATTTTTTTGATAGCCATTGTGGAGGAAAACATTGAAAAGGTGTTTCTCTTCTGCTTCTCTTAATGACTCAGTGCAGCAGTGTACTTTGGCTCTTTTGAAAAACTTCTGGATGCAGTTGGGTGGTTGCTTGTGAAATTTAGAATTTGGTCTGTGTGCATGGATTTTCGGAATATGCAAGTTATTAATTTGCTGTTATCTTGTCTCTTTATTTCAATATTTAAAAAGTTGTTCTTTATCTTCCTCACATATAAAACTGATCCCAATGAATACATTGTTGAGCAGATGGTTTCTTCTAGTATGTTGTATTTGATGATGGCAAAAGTGTTGTTCCTGTAATGTATCCAAAATTTTGGCTGGATGATTGGCAGGACTATGCGTTCAAGTTTCTGTATTACTGCTTCTGCTATTAGGCTGGATATAAGTCAGGAGTGTCAAACTCATGTTGTCACGGCGTCATGTGACTTATCAGTACTTTTTTCCCCTTCGCTAAACCAGGTGTGGGCGTGGCTAGCACATGATGCATCCGGCCATGAGTTTTACAGCCCTGATATAGGTGATCCCATAGGCGTGCCTTGTATTTGTTGATAGATTTTGCCATTGAATTTGAAGTGTGTTATGAGACATAAATCCAGATGTTTCATGGTAGTATCGATGGACATGGAGTGTTCTTTAGGTATCTTTTTGTTATATCTCTTTGATTTTATGTGGGTAGATCATAGATGGTTTGTTTGGCCAGGTCAGTGTTGATAGATGTGAATAATACAGTCACATCAAATGCAGTCACATTATTTCTTATTCATTTATTTTGATTTTTAATTAATTGAAGGAATTGCTGAGGTGAGTTTATAGAATAAGCCGAATTGTTGAGGAGATGGTGAAGTCTTTTTCTTAAAGCTTTTACTAGTTTGTAGGTTGGTTTTCAACATATGTAAGATTGTTTCCAGCTACTAGCTGAGGAATGCAATTCCTGTTGTTCCATACTTCTACTGTGTAAATATATTTCAGTCAGATAGCAGAACAGTGTCCCCTGTATTATAAATATGACACTTCATCGAGCCAGCAGGTTATTATAAGATAGACTTTCAGTCAACAAGAGAACCAATCAGCTGCTCAGAATTTAAATATAGCTCCAAATGAACAACCAATCAAACGACCAACTGACCACACTGGCATACAAGACATTTATAAGCTAAGGAGAATAGGACAAGAAAATCCTGCTGATGATGTTACCTAGCCTGGTAACGAAACATTCAGAAACTAAATTGAAACAAGCTTGGAGAGCAAACCACTAAAAACTAAAATCCAAGCTACAAGTATTTTCTATTATTTATCAGTAATATTTTCTCCGGAGGGGCATAAAACCTGGCATTCACTGGTGTTTTGTTTTCCAGAGTGGAAAGTGCTACCAAACACCAGCATCCTGAAAGGGTCAGAACCCTACCATTCGCTACCATTTGTGTCAGGTTTGAATTCTGTTACCCTAGCACGCCAAGGGATTATCTTGCGCCGGGGGAACACACCTCAAATCTGATGAAAATACTAGTAAATGCCAGCATTCTGAGCCATTTTCTCCTTGGAAGGGTGGAAATGCCAGCATTTGCTAATGTTTTCCCCTCCTGAGGGACTGAAACAGATATTAATTACTGATTTTGCCATATTTGAGCTCCTTTTCTCCAGCATATGGGAGGGCTGGAGGAATGAACCTCAAATCTAACATCCCCACCACTTGCAAACTTTCCTGATGGATTCTCCATTGATTTTTTGGAAAAATGAGAAAAGATTGCACATGGATCACAGGCCATTTGGCAACTGATCATAAATGCCCAAACTGCAGTATGTTGTTTTATAATGGCTGGAAGTGCTTTATGGGCTGTAAAGCTCCTATTTCAAGGTTGTGATGATTGTGAACTGTCCCTTAAACTACAGATCATAAATTGAGCATTACCTATAATTTACCACTTCCTGGACCCAACCACATCATGTCCCCAGAGGGACATAGATCTAATATACTGATCGCTGTCTTGGGTCTGTCTATTTGCTCATGACCAACAAGCTCAAACTCCTGCCTGGTAACCAAGTTGGACCATACTTCTGTCAGCTCCACAGGAACTGCCCATCCAGAGTTCAGATCAGAACAGATCTGAACCACTTTATCTGTAAAATGTTTCAAATATTCCTCATAGTAATTTTGCATATGTTCCTCTGGCCTCTCCTTTTAGTCAAATTGTGTGTCATAATATTGGTGAGCAAGATGGTGGAAGCATCAGGTTCCCACTTTAGTCATGAAAGCTGGCTGGGTGACTTTGGGCCAGTCACTTTTTCTCAGCCAACTAACATCATATGGTTATTGTTGTAGGGAAGATAGGAGGAAGGAATAGTATTTAATAGATTTTGCCTCTTGAGTTATTTATATAAATAATACATATGAAATATAAATAAACAGATTAAGAGATTGGAATCATAGGCCAGGCCTGGCCTATCTAAAACCTCAGATTTAGTATTTGGCATTTCTATTTTAAATATTCAGGGATCAGGACTAACAAAGCCATTTGCTTGACATAATTCAAAGGTTCAATCAATTTTAAAAGATCTTACTAATGAATTGTATTGTAATAAAGGAGATACAAGCATTCTTTGTGGTTCCAGAAAAATCTTTAACGTAAAAGACTGGAACATTTTCTGAGTTTCCTCTTTCATTTGATTATTTTAGGCCCAGATTGAAAAATGTGGATCGAAGTAGTGCTCAACATTTGGAAGTTACTGTTGGTGATCTGACAGTCATTATTACAGACTTTAAGGAAAAAACTAAGTCATCACCTGCTTCAAGTGCAGCTTCTGCAGACCAGCACAGTCAGAGTGGTTCTAGTTCTGACAATACAGAGAGAGGAATGTCCAGGTCATCTTCACCTAGAGGAGAAGCCTCGTCACTGAATGGAGAATCTCATTAAAGTTTATTTACTTCAGTTTATTATTTAGTTGTTCCTCTCAAAAATTACACATATACAACTTCTGCCAACAGTTACCACATTTTCATGACTTCTTATCATTGTGCATGATTATGTTTACTCAAATATAATTTATGCAGTTTTTACAAGCAGTGCTACAGTGCAATTAAATTGCATTGCAATCTACAAAACATTTTTAGATCAACTTTTTAATCTTGATATAGAATGGTGCCATGAAAATGTGGTTTGAATGTTCTTCATGCAGTGTTAACTGGCAAGTCCTTTTCCTCTTTTACTTTAGTAAATTTTAACAGAAGTCTTGGATTCTATGCTATTGGCATGTACTGAATGAATTAAAAAAAATAGTTCAAGCTGCCTAAATATGTATTATTTGAGAATTGTGAATCATAGTTATATATGTATGTAAGTCAAAGATCAACTTAATCAACTATTGCTGCAAAAGACTTTTCGTAATGATTATCTTTAAAACACCTGCTGGTACTTGGTGTGCTTGAATAGGAAAATGTTATTAAATATAACGTATGAATTTTTGCCAATGTCCAACAAATTTTACTGGATTATTGTAACTGAATAATGTTGCTAGCTTCTCCAATATTTTCCTCACACATTTAGAACATTTATTGTTAATGTTTACAAGCAAAAAAGTAAATCTGTTACAAACATTAATTGTTTAGCTTTATAATTCAAATATAGTACTGCCTTGTCCTTATACACTGGTATTCTGTTATAGAACATAAATTTATTCTGAAATTATTAGTCATTTTGTTTTTTTAATTCTACGTATATCTTAAAACTATTACTGATAACTTTAAAATCACAAACATGGTGCCATCATAATTGATATTTTTTACTTACTTTCTCCGTGATATATCTGTTCAGCAGAAGGCTGTGATCCAAAGAGGCTTTTAAGTTTGTGTACGAGTTTAGTAGTTTATTTATTTATTTTTTTAGCCATAGTTCTTTGCATCGCACCAGAGAGCATTCCCAAATATCTCCCAAGATTGAAAATGGGTAGTGAAGGGGACTGCAGTTGGAGGAGGTGAACTTTAAAAGCAATGGTGCCTGTGTACGGGTGTGCGTATGGGTGTGAAAAGAATCTCTGCAGCCTTTAGGATTCAGGCCAGTGATATTAAATGTTGCATCACAGTAAATAAGTAAGCAAATGCTGTTTGTTTTACATTTGTTCCTGTATCAGCCTTTTGCATTTTTTTGAAATAATTTTTATTAAATAATATAGAGTAAATCACAGTTCTTTGTTTTTGATATACTGGACATTTATGCATTTAGCAATATACAATACAGAACAAAAGGATTTACAGTCCCATTCAGTATTATGTAAACTTTCCAATAAAATATTTTTATGAGTATAGGTTTTGAATTTTTGTTTACAATCAGTTAAATGTTTTAATGTACAAATTAATGATTAACTCTCTCACCTGTACTGTAGAATTAGAAATATAGTGGGAGAGAGATGATTTATAACTTCTAAGGGTGTTTTTATATATGATTGTCCATTTAAATGAAGGACATTTACTGATCAGAATGTAAACCCAATCTAATTTACTAAGGCAATGAATTAGCAATTCAGAACTTACACATTATAATAGACAGCACAAAAGTCTATGCATTTCTACTCAGAAATGTCTCACTGAGTTCATAGTTTATAGCACTACAGCAATCAGTGCAATCCTTGTATTTTTACTCAGCAGCGCAAACTTGAGTGGGAGGGAGGTTCATGGCATGTGTACAATGTCATCACAATAATATCTTGCTGCTTATTTGTGTCATATAATCAGGTCACAAAGTACGTAATAGTAACTTTTGTATGATGACATCATCAACCATATTATTTTGGTATCTTCATAATTTACTGCAAATGCAGCTGGGCCTGAGGCTATTTCCTTAGGGCAGGGATGTCAAACTTATGTCATGTTGTTACATGATATTATGTGACTTTTTCCCACTTCACTAAACCGGGGGTAGGCGTGGCCAGCATGTGACACATCCGGCCCATGGGCTGTGAGTTTAACACCCCTGCCCTAGGGAATTATTAGGTACTGTGTTGTTTGGAATTTACTTCCAAACAAACATGCATAGCATTAAATTGCACAGAGTAAATAGTAGTAGTAGAAGCATTCTAATTCATTTTTCAAAATTTATTGTATTTTTCTGTTGCTTGGACCAGTTACCAATATTAGCATTTTTGTACCCACAAACATCTTCATGAAAATATCCTTCAGACTCAGAGTGACTTAAAAATGAAGGTTCTCATAATGATGGATCTTAAAATAATAAACTAGAACAGAAAGTCTAGTCAATTTATATATTTGTAGTTTCTGTGTTAGATTAATCTTATGCACACTTACTTGGATAGATCCCACTGAATTCAGTGAAACTTAACTCTGGGAAAATATATATAGGATCAGGCTGTTAATATTATTTGTTTGGGTAAAAAGTCCAGTTGCCTGTTGTTGAAGAGAGCACTTCACATAATAGTTAGGAATTAACTTTTTTTTCACTTAAAATATTTATTTTGTGAACTATGAAAAAATTACATAGGTTATTTGGTAATAATTCTAACCAAAAATATTAAATATATATAGTGACAGCCTTTCAGCTAGAATTGAATTTTGTAGCCCTGTGATGTTTGCTGGTCTCTTGCAGTAATGTATTTTTCTGTTTTTAACTCCAGTACTTCTACAGGCACAACGGTACTGTCAATTTTGTACAATGTTAAATGTGAAATACAGTTAGTTGCATAAAATGAAAGTCTGATGTGATATGTAAAACTTGAATATGTCATTTCTTACTTTTGCTGTCTAATAAGTTAACATTAACTGTTCTCCTAAATGAATAAGAACGGAAAAGGCTGAAATTGGGGTGTTTATTTTATTTTATTTATTTATTTATTTATCTCATTTTTGAACCACTCATCTCCCTCACAGACTACTTTTATGTTACAAAATACTGCTTGGTCTTTTATTAGTTTCTAAACAGAGTTTATTTCTTGAAGTCTTACTGGGGAACAATGCAATTAATTTCTCTGTAACCTTTAATATTTTTTTCCAATTTTAAAAATAAATTTCTTTAGGTAATTTCCCAATAAATAAACAACATAAATGTGGCTATTCACTTAGGGGGTAACTGAAATCTACAAGTGCTATAACTACATAATTGGCATATCTAGTTATTCATTTTGTCACTACTATTTAGGAAGCTATTTAGATACCCAGTTAGTCCGTATGATTCAGTCATCTTGACAGTGACTGCAGCAACTCTAGTGTTGCTAGCTCAGCTTGTGGATGGCAGGAACTGGATTCTTTCATGCAAAATATCTTTCAAAACTAAATTCTACATAATTTCTTTACAACAATCCATCTTTAGAGTATTTTCTTTTGTAATATCCAATTTTGTAATTGTAATAATGTCATATCTTTATAAATGGATATAAATACATTTTATTTATAAATGTAACATATTACATTAATTTAATAACCTATTAAGACATATGACATCGATATCAAATTAAGCTTGACAGTGATCATGAATATCAGGCATGCTCTTTCATTAGAAGCAGAATACAATCCTAAAAAATTCCATGGGCTACTTACTACCAATGAGTTATTACTTATAGAAGCACTGGGTTGCTGTTTTATTACAGAAATGTATATGCTATCTAATTTATTACACTTTTGACTTAGGTAGAGAAAAATAAATTACTCTAACATATCTCAAATATCGGCTATAAATAATTAAAACCTTATGCAAATAGTAGAATAGTACTGTTTTTGTTGTTCTAAAAGATAAGGGAGTGACCAACCTGACTTGGGGGGAGACATCGTGTAATGACAGCTGCTACAGCAAAGGTTGTTTTCTGAGTTCCTGTCCCACTGAATGAGTTATTATCCAATACTGTGCCGTATAAAAGTCTTTTGCTCTCCATGTAGCCTAAGATGCACATGTTCCAAAATGCATTCAGAATAACATTTGAAAATACAGAGGAGAGGAGGCATTGTTTCCCTCCTGGTTGCAGAATCCCTAGATTTCCCTTCAGCTCTAGGAAGACAGGTAGGATATTAATCTAACAAACATTTCATTCTGTATCCTATGTATTCAGATTTCATGACCCAGTTACAGCAATTCTGAAAAAAAATGGCTTATGGCTAGTCCTCACACTGAACAATTATCCCACCCTTAGGAAGGAAACAATGGCAAATCACTTCCAAAATCTTTCCAAGAAAACTGCAGTGCCTAGTTCACGCAGTCACCAGAAGCCAACACTTAATTCAAAGGAACTAAAAATCAGTGAATTATTTAGAATTATTATTTCAAGATCTACATAATTTTATTATTAGAAATTAGTATATTTTAAATGATTAACTGATGTGGTAAGTACTGAGAATTATAAATCACTAATAAAATTGAAACATTTTGCTGTATCAAAAAAAGTGAATATAACTGAGTCCATTTACTATAATATATTAACTTTTCCTTAAGAAATACCTCAATTTCCTTTTTTAAATAAATATTCCAAATAAATTAGGACTTTCTTTGTTAAATTCAATTATATATAGTCTATCAAAACAGTTTGTAAGATTTTACAAAAAATATTCTGATATTTGTAGCAAACAAGGGAAGGGGTGTTTTTTTTGCTCATAAATGTTGAATTACTTTTTTAAAAAAATATTCTTAAATGAATCAGGAGACAAAAATAGAATGTCAGAATAAAAAAAAAGAATTTCTTGCCGTAGAACAGGGCTGTCAAACTCCCAGCCTGTGGGCTGGATGCGTCACGTGCTAGCCACACCCACACCCAGTTTAGTGGAGAAAAAAGTCCCGTTACATCACGTGACACTGCCGTGATGACGTGAGTTTGACACCCCTGCTGTAGAAAATACCATCTGTAAAAATTTTATTCTGATGGTTAACTTAGGATACTTTCTCTACTCAATCATGGAGAATATTGATTTTTATTACCTATAAGGCTAATATATCTGATTTTATTCTAAAATAAACCTATGATGTTATGAACGGATCATAATTCATTAATTAAACAGTAATTACAAAATTAAATTTGGTTCTTTTGACATATATTTGATGAAGACTTCATCCTATCGTTAAACAGGTTTCCTTTTTGTTTGTTGAAACTGCTCCCACTCAGCAGTAGGCTTGTCAACTGTCAATCTGTCCACTCCCAAAGCCACCCAGCAATTGGTGAACTTCATCAGACATCAGTAAGTTTTTGAAGGCTTTTACCATACAACACAGCTTTCAATGGAACAGAATGAGGAAAATGGTTTTATGATTCCTCTATAATTAGCTCTGACTAATTGCTCAGCATGTCAGTCTGATGAAATGATGCAATTCTGGTTTTTTTGGAAATAAGAGTAATTGGTTTCTTTTGGAAGAGTATTCCTTTAGATAAATAAAGTCCAGTTTCTTCTTGAAAGCTTCCAGTGATGAAGCTCCCACAACTTCTGTAGGCAAGCTATTCAATTGGTTGATTGTTCTGTCAGAAAATTTCTCCTTATGCATTTCTAAAACAAAGTTATTTTATGGAATATCCAGTTATCAGTTGATCTTGTATTCTGACAACACATAGTTTTTCATTATTACACAGAGAAAAAGAGTTGTTTGTACAATAGGGTCATGGTCAACATATTTCAGAGACAGATGTTGATTGTAATCAGTAATCACCCTCTCCTTTAAAGTTGACTGTATCACAGTGTTCAAAAGAGGTTGCAGCTTTCTACTTACCAGTTCTTGTAATGCCAAGGAATCCAGTTTATGTAGGTGCCTTCCTTCGAAGGATTAAAGGTTCTCAAGCAAATTATTAATTTACAAAAAATAACTCAAGATATTGTGGTTTATCATAAAAAATAAAACAGCCATCCAGAGATGTTGGGCAGTGGGCTGGCCTCATACTGTACTGTATTTTACTGCTTTTTGTTAACTTTCTGTTTTTATCTTCCAGATAGAATTATATGTTGGCAGAAGAGCATCTTGATAAAAAATAAGTTTCTTCACAATTTTGTTTGGTGCTATTTTTATTATTACATTATGCATGAGAACCTAAAAACGCCACATCATATGATAGTGGACCTATTTAGACGGGAAGTCCCATTTCAAGAGTATGGCACGTTTTTTTGCATGCAGTTGATTCTAAAGTCAATGTTTGCCACCTGGGAAGAAAAGAAAAAAAAAAACCGCCCTGAAATTCTAGAGTAGGGGTGTCCAACCTTGGCAACTTTAAGACTTGTGGACTTCAACTCCCAGAGTTCCTCAGCCAGCAAAGCTGGCTGAGGAACTCTGGGAGTTGAAGTCCACAAGTCTTAAAGTTG